CTCTTCTTTTAGGTCTATCACAGTCTGACTTTAATGGAGCCATGCAATGTTTCCTGGGTGCAGGCATTCCTGTCTTGGGAGTTACGACCTCTGCAGGGACAGAAAGCAGAGGTCTTAAAATTCTGTTAGTAGGTTATTAGAAAAAGAATAGTTAAAAAAATAGTAAAAGTGAAAGGAGGGACTTCCAGTTTTTATTTTCTATAAGTGAGTGTCCTGTCTATGGCAAAAGTAGCATTGTATTATGGCGGTGGTTAAAAGTATGTACCACATCCATTTGGATAGCACCCCGGTCTCTCAGGATATCATCTGTCGGATGGGGCCATAATTGAATAGTCCGTTGTTTATTCCACCATTTTATCAGGCAAGCTGCTTCTGGGTGATGGAGTACATGGCGAGCTCATGGTGGTGAGGGGAAAAGGCCAGCCAGCATCCACAGAACAGGTCATCTTGTCCACTTGATTTCTGAGAGTGTTTTCAGCAGCTGGTACCCTTTTATTAAACATTCACAATACACTCTAAAACCTCATACCTTGTGCCCATTCCAAAAGGTGTATCCATCTACTTTTTCTTCATATGCCTTTCAGTTACCAGTAGTTCTGTTTCTTTCTAAATTCTTGAGCATTTGACCAACTTGTTAGCCACTGTCCACGAATTGGGTAAAAATCCATACTTGTATCTCTGTGTCCATGCCAAGTGGACAGCCAGATGCCCAATGGGGATATTTCCCTTCCCATTGCCTTTCAGGGACACTCCTGATTGGAGTTGTGGTGTTTCAGCCATCCTCTTCCCGCTGGTGCTTCCATATTGTGCAGAGCCACCTCTAAATGCGGCTTCAGCTTTTCCTTCCTCAGCCAGCTCGTTGTAGGTGACTCACCATGGGCCGTATGTGCGAGGTGAGGAAAAGCAGCAGGGGAGTAGGGGCAGGTACAGTGGGGACTGCGCCATTTGCTCATGAACTTATACGTGGATTCAGGATCTGTTCAGTCTGAGCTTGTATATAACACTTGCTCTTGACAGTGGAGTGCTGCTGCATGTGCCCAAATGTGTAATTTGGGGCACTAGTAACACTCATGATAGGCCACTCGGGCACAACCACTTAGTGTCCCGTGGTCAGCGTCAAGCTCTAAGAGAGCCCGGGAGCATTCCAAAAGCTCGTTTTCCAAGGAAGAATAGCTGTCTGCTGGACTTCCAAGTCCAGCTACCTGGCTCTAGTGTTCATGCTTATAACTATAAGCTGGTCTATATCAACTTCTATCTCTTTGACCAATTTAAACATATTATTGAGTCTGTTGGGTTTTTATTGTATTTTCTGAAACTCTTGGGGTTCTAATTCTGCTGTTTGTATGCCTGCTCATTTTTTATTTTTATTCTTTTAAAGTAATAGTAATTTATTTTTAAATTTATTTATCGATTTTAGAGAGAGAGGAAGGGGGTGGGGGGAGAGAGACGGGAAACAGATGGATTTGTCGTTCCACTTATTTATGGATTCAGTGGTTGATTCTTCTGTGTACCCTGACCAGGGATGGAACCCTGTACCCTTGGCACATTGGGACGATGCTCTAACCAAATGAGCTACCCGGCCAGGACTCATTCTTTTTTTATAAAGAATGACTTCTGCCCTGGCTGGCGTAGCTCAGTGAATTGAGCGCGGGCTGCAAACCAAAGTGTTGCAGGTTCGATTCCCAGTCAGGGTACATGCCTGAGTTGCGGGCCATGACCCCCAGCAACCGCACATTGATGTTTCTCTCTCTCTCTCTCTATCTCCCTCTCTTCCCTCTCTAAAAATAAATAAAATCTTAAAAAAAAGAGAAGTTCTGTTTGTGGGAAGAACTCAAGAAAGCCTCATCTTTAAAAAAAAAAAAGAATGACTCCTTTGTATGTTTTAATGTTTTGATTTATTTATTTAACAACATTGATTGAGCATCTACTGTGTACTCGAGTGCCGTTCGAGGAGCTGGGAGTGCATAAGTAAACAAAACAGGCAGAGTTTCTGCTCTTTGGGACCTAGTAGGAGAAAACAAACAATAAATAAATAAGGGAATGGAGAGTGGGAGGGGTGCTCCTATAGGGTGGTACAGGAAAGCATCTCCGATAAGGTGACAAATTATCAGACACTTTAAAGATATGAGAATGCGAACTACGTGTGTATCTGGAGGAAGAATTGCTGAGCAGGGGGAATCGCTACTACAAAGGCTGCTTGGCAGGAATATGCCTCGAATGTTCAGGAGTGAGCAGAGATTGTTGCAGCAGGAACGCAGTGCGTGAGGGTAGAGCAAAGGCGATGGGGGCAGAGAGGTACCAGGAGTGGGAAGGTGCAGACCATGTTGAGCCTTTTGGGTTGGAGCTGGATGAGGAACCCCCAGAGGGTTTTGCACAGAGGAGTTACATGATTTCATGTAATGTTTTAGAGGGGTCGCTCCGACTGCCGCATTCAGACTAGATTGAAGTTGCAAGCCTAGTGAACAGGTGATGGTGACTTGGACAAAGGTGGTGATGTCAGTAGTGGACAAAAGTGGGAAAGATTTTGGGTTTGGTTTTTTTAGGTAAAGCCAACAACATGGAGTCAGAGGTGACTCTTAATGTTTTTGGTCCAAACAACGGGAATGCAGTTACCATTCCCGAGGTGGAGTAAGACTGTAGGGAAAGCAGGTTTAAGATGAGGGTGAATGAAGGATATGTTTTTGGATGTGTTGAGTTTAGGATGCCTATTAAGTGTCTAAGAGGAGATGCAGGTGGATAGAGATATGAGACTTAGGTTCAGGGAAGAGATGGGGGGCTAGATGTTTAAACCTCTGAGGCATAAACTCAAAGACGGTCTTTCAGGTTGAGACGGGCAGGCTCTCCTAGGGAACGGGAATGGGTAGAGAAGAGGTCTGAGCCCCACAGCCTGGGGCATTCCAGCTGTGAGGGAGGAAACATTTTCCTTGATCTTCTTCCTAGCTGGGTCTAAAATTAAACTGACAAAGGTGGTTAACACGATTCATTCAAACAAGTTTACTTAAAGTAAGTTTTACACGACACAGAAACCTTCCAAAGGAAATGGAGAAATAGTTGGACCTGAGTATTTTTATGCCAGGTTAATGAGGACTGGACAGTCCTGGAGGGATATGGTAGGGTAAGGAGTGTGAGGTGAGTTTAGTAAACTGGGGAAATGCAGCAAAGCCTGTCGGGTCAGTTTCTTGTCAGTGCCTCTTTGTCTTTGAGATAAGGAGGCACCTTTCCTTTGGGAATAGGGAGGGTACCTCTCACATGAGGATTTTATGATCTGTTGTAGGGAAGAAAGGAGGTGAGTGTCAGAGTGACCTCCTGTTTCAGTTCAAGATTTTTGGTGTGCCTAGGTGCCATGTTTTGGGGTAGCGTGTCCTGAATCCCACAGCACTTCAGGTTCAGAAAACGGAAAACCGGCAAAGGAGACTGAGAAAGAGTGACCAACAGAAGAAGAACCATGAAGGAGAGGAGGTCTGGCAGTCAAGCAGAGTGTTTTAGGATGAAGAAAGTGATGCACTGGGCCAGTAAGATGCAGGCAAAGAACTAACCATTGGATCTAACAACATGCAAGTTGCTAATCTTTTAAAAAATTCTTGTGATGAATGGGGATGAAAACCTGATTAGAATAGGTTCAAGAAAGAACGGGAGGAAAGTGAAGACAGCAAATGAAAAATACAAAACAGAAAAACTCTTTTGGTGAATTTTGTATAAAGGGAGCAGAGAAATAGAGTAGTAGCTAGAGGTAGATGTGAAATCAAGGGCAGGTTTCGTTTGCTTGTTTGTGCGTTTGTACGACAGGAGAGATTAGACATCGTGGTGGTATGATACTGGAGACTTTGTATAAAGAGGGGAGTGATTCTGAGTCCAGTTTAAGCAGAGCTTATTTTCCCCTGGCTTGGGTGCTGGGTTGCCTCTTGTACATGCCCGGACTGGGGACCAAACCCGCAACCTAGCCATGTGCCCTGACGAAGAATCAAACCCACGACCTTTTGGTTTGTGGGATAACATCCAACCGAGCCACACCAGCCAGGGCCTTCCTGAGCAGTTTTGCATTTGCCTCTGCAAGATGCTCCATGGGCACCAGGACTAATTTTCTTGTTAATTTTTTAGCTTGAGGTTTCCCACACTAAGCAGGTAAAATAAGTTTGGACTCCAGAACCTAAAACGACACAACCTTGGGTTTGATATCGTACCTAGGGATGGTTATTTTTCCCCACCCAAGGCCCTGCAAAGACAAACTTTCTTCATTAAGAGTGTGGTCCTTAGAGGATTCCAACCTCTGCTGCTGGTAAAAACCCAAGCCCACGTTGCTGTTCCCGCTCTGCATCCCTCTCCACTTCTGGCATCTAGAGATTTCATATTCTTTCTTGCAAGCCCAGCCACACACATTTAAAAATTTTTGGTTAATGTTAGCCACACCTTTAGAGGTCTGTGGCAGGAAAGTTTCAGCACTTTCCAGACCACTGTTTTTGCCTGAATCAGAAATCTCCTTTCATTCTTCACCTGGCTAATTCCTGGTCATCTTTGAGGTCTCAGCTTAAATGCTACTTCTCAGAGAAGTATTCCCTAACCCTCACCATCTCAATCTAAGATAGTTTACACTTGTATCCTTCCCATAGCACCTCTTTCTGTTTTAGCAAATAATCTGTCATTTGTAATTTCATGGGAATATTCGTTCAATGCCTGAGACCTGCGCTAGATTGAAAACTAGATGAAGGCAAAAATCAAGCCTGTTCAGTTCATCATATCGCAGACGGCCTGATTTATAGAAGATGCTAAATGAAGTTTGGTGACTATACAGATAATTGTCTGAAATTTAAAAAACTAATAGTATGGTATTACATGCTATCCTAAAACCTATTATTCTTCATGTCTTAGAGACTGTATTCTCTAAGAAAGTGGTTTTCATGGAAAAAATAAGATAGAGGTTTCTGATTGTAAATTTACTTTATTCATCTTAGAAAACAGTGTCATTTTGTGTTTGGTAATCACACGTGTCTTCTCCTCTTTAGAATGGAGATCTCTTCTCATCAGTCTCAACTCTTGCAACAGCTAAACGAGCAGCGCCGGCAGGATGTGTTTTGTGATTGCAGTATCCTCGTTGAAGGGAAGGTCTTCAAAGCACATCGGAATGTATTATTTGCTAGTAGTGGCTACTTTAAAATGCTTCTTTCCCAGAACTCAAAGGAGACAAGTCAGCCGACAACAGCTACATTTCAGGCTTTCTCCCCTGACACCTTCACAGTTATCCTGGACTTCGTCTACTCCGGCAAACTCTCTCTTACTGGCCAGAATGTCATAGAAGTGATGTCAGCTGCTAGCTTCCTCCAGATGACCGATGTCATTAGTGTATGTAAGACCTTTATTAAATCCTCATTAGACATTAGTGAGAAAGAAAAAGATCGCTATTTCAGCCTCTCTGATAAAGATGCCAATTCTAATGGTATAGAACGTTCCTCTTTTTATAGCAGTGGCTGGCAAGAAGAAGGCGGTTCTCCACATTCTCGCCTAAGCCCAGATCAAGGAACAGGTGTAATAAGTGGAAAATCTTGGACTAAGTATAATTACCCTCCAGTTTCCCAGAGGAATACTCAGCAACCTTTGGCCAAGCATGAACAAAGGAGAGATTCCATTAAAAAGTCCAAACATTTGAGGTTGTCACAGCCTTCTGAAATTGCTCATTGTAAGTCCAGCAAGCGAGATGCACGAACGTCTGATTCTTCCAGCCATGTTTCGCAGTCTGAAGAACAAGCACAGATTGATGCTGAAATGGACTCGACTGTTGGCTTTCAGTACGGCCAAGGCTCTGAAGTCACATCAAGAAGTTTTCCAGGTACCCAAAAAGAGAATCTGTCCCCTCAGGTTCCAATACCCTTATATAAATCAAGCCTATCCCAACATGCCCTTACTTTTAGGTGTTATGGGTAGTTGAACCAAGTGATGTTTTTAAAAGATTTATCTTTAGAGAGAGGGGAGGGGAGGGAGAAAGAGAGGGAGAGAAACATCCATGTGTGGGAGAAACATCAATTCATTCTGAGGGTCAAAATCCACAATTTTCCGATTTTCCAAACCTGTATCTGTGGGTGATTAAATTACTGCTAAATGTTTAAACCTCTTTTCTAAATTGTTCAGTTCCTAAGACCAACTGAGCCATGCTGATCGGGGCCCAAGTGATTTTTTAGAAGTCACTTCTCTAATAAAATTTATTTCATAAAACAAATTTAAAAATGTTTTTTAAAGATTTTATTTATTGATTTTTAGAGAGAGGGGAGGGGCGGGAGGAAACATCGATGTGAGAGAGAAACTCTGATCAGTTGCCTCCTTCAAGCTCTCAACCAACCAGGGACTGCAACGCAGGCTTGTGCCCTGATCAGGAATCGAACCACTGAACTTCTGCTTTGCAAATGACACTCGACCGACTGAGCCACACTGGTCAGGGCATAAATTGAATTTTTTTTTTTAGATTTTATTTATTCATTTCCTGAGAGAGTGGAAGGGAAGAAGAAAGAGGGAGAGAAACACCAATATGTGAGAGAAACATCGACTGATTGTCTCTTTGGGAAGAGTGTCTTTACACTGAAAAGTTAAATAGAGCAACCCTGCACATTTGCTAAAGTTTGCAGACCCTTTACCCAAAAGAAATTAGAGTAACTCTGAATTTATTATGATATAAATACATAATTAAAAAAACTTAACATCCATAGCATTGATGCTGTGATTCATGTGCAACAGCTTGGGACATCTCATCGTTATGATAGTAGTAGAATGCAGAGAAGTTATGTAGGCTGATAGTTTCCCAGTAAGCCTCCCCTCGTCCCTGAAGACGGAAGTAGAGAACAGGGAGTACAAATGTGTATCATCCAGTTTCCTCCCTCCCAATTAATCAGTTAGCACATCTGCTTCATAGCTTACATGTGAATTTAAAGGAAAAATTGGGATAAAATGAAACTCTTGACGAGTATAAGATTTGGATTATACATTTAAAAATTTTCATTTTAGAAAAATTTCAAAAGTAAAGAGGATAGTTTCGTTAACCTCCATGCACCCAGTTACCCAGTCCCATCAACTTCCAACTCATGGTCAATCTTATTTCACTTGTACCTCTACCCCTAACCCCTCCCTTTGTTATTTTTAAGCAAATCTCAGACATGTTTTTTTTTAAAGATTTTATTTATTTATTTTAGGAAGGGAGGGAGAGAGAAAGAGAGAGAAACATCAATGTGGGGTTGCTGGGGGCCATGGCCTACGACACTTTGGTTCACAGCCCACACTCAATCCACTGAGCTACGCCAGCCAGGGCCTCAGACATGTTTTAATCTGTAAGAATCTCAGAATGTGTCCCTAAAATATAGAATAGAAAAGACATTCCAATACCATTACTGCATGTAAACAAAATTAACAAGCCCTTAATATCACCAACTAGCCAGTGAGTATTCACACTTCTCTTGCTGTTGTATAAATTTCCAAAAATATAATTTGCATATAGATAACATTTTTAAGCAGCCTGATTGATTTTTAGTTATCACTTTTTTTGTAGGATACTAACATGAAAATATATGAAATTTTATCATACTGTAGAGCTTGCAGAAAATCCTCCTGAGCTCTAACCATTGACCAAGGCAAACAAACAACAGCAAAAATGGGACATCTTTGTTTCACTCTAAAACACCAATAAAATCATCATTTCTCTATTTGGGCTCTGCCCTTTTATAAATCTGGGTTATTTAAACCTAACTTCAGGAATGAACAGCTGAGTTAACAGCAGTTAAGTTGATGAGGTGTGCTTTCAATCACAACTAACATGTTGAATATGTGAGTTTTAAAATAAACAATTAAAGATCCCTTATGTCAACTATACTTTAAGAGCTTCACAGCTCTGTCTGGTGTGGCTCAGTGGATTGAGTACTGGCCTGCTAACTGAAAGGTCATGGGTTCAATTCCCAGTCAGGGCACATGCCTGGGTTATGGGTCAGGTTCCCAGTTGAGGGCGTGTGAGGGGAAACCAGTTGATGTTCCTCTCTCTGTCTTTCTCTCTCACTTCCCCTCTCTCTAAAAATAAATTTTTAAAAAGTCTAAAAAAAAAAGAGCTTTAAATTTCTGAATGAAAAAAAAAAACAGTTGATCCTTGAAGATCCTTTCAAGAGATCCTTGAAATTTTTTCACTTTTGAAAGTATTACAAGTGTAAGAAGAATAAAGGCAAAGGAAATAAAGACATGTAAATAAAACAAGTTACTTAAAGCTTCAATATTAAATAATTTTACTTTTGGATTGTATCTACAACTTTATTTTATTTTATTTATTATTATTTTTTAAATGATAGGATTGTGGACTTTTTTTTTAAGATTTTGTTTACTTTATTTTTAGACAGAGGGGAAGGGAGGGAGAAGGGGAGGGAAACATCAATGTGTAGTTGCCTTCTGCATACTCCCCACTGGGGACCTGTCCTGCAACCCAGGCATGTGCCCTGACTGGGAATCAAACCTGCAACTTTTCAGTTAGCAGGCCATTATTCAACCCACTGAGCCACACCAGACAGGGCTGTATCTACAGTTTTAAAATCCAGTACTACCTTTTTACATTCAATATGTATTGACTCTATGACATTTAATGAAAAGGTAAGTGTGACCATCTAAATTTACTCGGACTATAAATATATCAAATATTAATACTAAAGTTATAGTTCTGTACTTAGGTTTACATTGACAATCAACTCTTGATAACATTTCTTCTGCTTTCTCCTTTTCAAGATTGGACTCACCAACTCCTTCTGGGTTCTTTTTGTTACTAGACTTGTTATTGTGAAATCCCAGGGATTTAATCGAGTTGTCTCCTCACAGATGACCTGCCCAGGATGAGATTCAAGTGCCCGTACTGCACACACGTGGTGAAGCGGAAAGCAGACCTGAAGCGCCACCTTCGCTGCCACACAGGAGAACGGCCCTACCCATGTCAAGCTTGTGGGAAAAGATTTAGCAGGCTAGACCATCTAAGTAGTCATTTTCGAACAGTATGTATTTGATTTTTCATCATTTTACTTCTTAAGAGATATGTGCATTGATCTGCTTTAGGAGAATCTAATTTATGACGGAAATCTTTTCACACAATTTTACCATATTAAAAAATTTTCCAACTTAATGTTTTTACTCTGCACATAATACATAATTCTCTCTATATATTATCAATTTATTCTCCTTTGAGACCTTGAAGCTGGAGATATTTTTTTGAGTACTTATTTCAATGCATTTAAAATCTAATCGGTTTATATATACTGGTCTTTTTGGAGCCAAAGACAATATAAACTGTAAAAATGTTTTAAATTTCTGGGTCAGAACCACCACCTCAGATACCCACCATCTAATGGTGATTCTTGAATCACCTGGTAGGATCTCTAGTTTCTGCTGTCCTACCTCTCTGCACGACACCCCCTTTCTAGTGTTGCTCCATTTTCCTTATAGTCTCCTCAAGAAAGGCAGCAAAGCGGGCAACAGAATGACTCCCAGCAAGGGACTGGATGGTCAGCAGTCGGAAAAATCTCAGGCAATTTGCTGGCAAATGCTCTGGTGGTTTAATAACATAGTGATACCTGGTTGGTGTGGGTCAGTGGCTTGAGCTCCGGCCTGAGAACCAAGGTGTCGCCAGTTTGATTCCCAGTCAGGGCACATGCCTGGGTTGCAGGCTGGGTCCCCAGTAGGGGACGCACAAGAGGCAACCAACTGATGTTTTTCTCCCTCTCTTTCTCTCTCCTTCCCTCTCTCTCTAAAAAGAAACAAAATCTTTAAAAAAAATAATAACATAATGATGTAGAAACATTGTTCTGTTGTTCATCTTGCACCAAAATTTTTTTCCAAAATCTGTTCTATTGCTTGTATTTCAGTTCCATTTATAAGAGCTCCTTTAATTTTAAAGGACACTGAGTCCCTTACTGTAGTTTTTTTTTTTTTTAAGAGAATAGTATCTTTTTAAAAAAAGATTTTATTTATTTATTTTTAGAAAGAGGGGAAGGGAGGGAGAAAAAGAGGGAGAAAAATATTAATGTGCAGGAGATATATCGGTTGCCTCTCGCACGCCCCCTGCCAGGGACCTGGCCTGCAACCCAGGCATGTGCCCTGACCGGAAATTGAACAAGCAACGTTTCGGTTCACAGGCCGACACTCAATCCACTGAGCCACACCAGCAAGGGCCTTAAGGTAATTTCTTAATGTATTGCTTTATAGTTATTCAACAAATACAGTTGAGTACCTGTTATGTGCCAGACCCTTTTCTAAGTGCTAGGTATACAGCAGTGAGCAAAACAGACAAAACGTCTTCCTTCAATAATCTCGTGAAGCTGAATCACTGATTTTCAACTTCCTTCATGTCATGTCACAACATAAACTAAGTACCAAAAGTCTGTAGCACACCAAAAAAAGGCATTATGTTTTTTGCCTATCTGACAAAATAAGTATAATTTTGATTCATTCATACCAGACAGCTATTGTTGTGTTGGCTGTTGTCATTTTTTTTATTTGACAATCTGAGGGAAAAGAGGTAGTGCCCCTCACTAAATAGTCAGGTATTGCATGTTTTAAAAATTCTTATGGAGCCCTGGTTGATAATCGCTGAACTGGATTATTAAAAATTAGCCCTGCCTGGTGTGGCTCAGTGGATTGAGCACTGGGCTGCGAAGCAAAGGGTCACTGGTTCGATTCCCAGTCAGGGCACATGGCTGAGTTGCGGGCCAGGTCCCCATCATGGGGCATGTGAGAGGCAACCACACATTGATGTTTCTCTCTCTCTCTCCTTCCCTTCTTCTCTAAAAATAAATAAATAAAATCTTAAAAAAAATAAAATTAAAACAACCTTATTACAAAAGCAGTAAACATTTATTATAAAAAGTAGGAAAATAGAAGTAAAAATAAGAAAATAAAAACGGCACATTTTTACCACCCAGATATTACCATTCTTAATATTTAATCATGTGCATTTATGGTATTTTTTTTTTACTAACATGAGATACTGCACATGCTATTTTGTAACTTGCTTTCTTTAGTGAACAGTCTCTATCTTTACATCTCAATAACATTTTGTCTAACACCCAGTACAATTTCAAATTTCCCCATAGTTCTCCAAACACCTGTTACACTTGTTTGTCCAGACCAGAATCTGATCCAGAAGCATGTATTCCATCTCATTGTTAGTCCCTTCAGTGTGTTTTGAAGTTGTCATCATATTTCCCCCTCCCCCTCCCCCTTATAGCACTGACTCACAAAAGACACTGCGCCGACCACTTTACACAGTATTCTGCCTCCGGATTTTTCTGCCTGCTTCCACATGATGTCATTCTTCCCCCTACCCCCACTCAACATTTTCTGTAAAATAGTTTTATCTAAAGCCTCAGTGGATTCAAGTTAAATACTTCTGACTACAACATCTCAAGACTGAAATTGTTTATTTCATATTGTGTCACATTAGGAGACACATAATATCTGGAGGACCCATCGTTGGTGTTATTAAGATCCACCACTGGGTTGGGGTGACGGCAGCGCGGTCCCACCACTGCACCGTCAAAGGTGCCGCCTTGTGATTAGAAAGGAATCCGTGCGGAGCTGTGTTGGGTCCACGTCATCGTCCATTTCCCCATCAGCCATTCATTGAAACTATTAATTTTACTTGAAGTGGTGGACTAATTTACTAATTTCATGCTTCCTTCTACATTAGCAGCTGGAATTCTACAAAGTGAGGCTTTCCCTTGTTATGTGAGGCTGTTAGGTTACTTTAAAATAGGGTTTCTACAGGAGCAGCACAACAAATCTTTAATTCTTTCCCTTTAATTAGCAATTATTTTCAAAGTGAAGAGTTGGTTTCATAGTAATCTTAAATGATTTGAGATTTTCTCTGGCTTTGCTTTTTTTAAAATAGCACATGACCTCAGGAATTTTTATTGGTTCATTGTGTTTGGATCCATAACAATTATTGTTCTTTCTGATGCTCACGTTTTCAGTTTTGTCCAGTGGGGACATCTTGAAGATTGCTTTTGTGTCCTTCTGTCACAACTCATTAAAATTTTAGTGTCCTTATTCTTTGGCTCCAAAAGAGCCCTAGGCTCACCTTGTACTTTCCCTGTCACAAAAGTGGAACCAGCCATTTCTCAAAGGAGCCCTGTTTCCTTTTAGTGGGGAATAAAATTTGAAACCAGTATTTGGACACCTAGGGTGCTCATTGTCATTATGTTGTCCTTCTTTTTCGATTGTTTCAGTGAACAGAGCTAGAGGACATGTATTTTTACATGCGTTCATGACATTTTTAATTTTAACATTACAGTGTTTCACTTGATTTCTTTGACTTCATAATTGTAATGGGATGGGGAGGAACATGAACATGTCAGAACTTTGTAACAAAAACAATGCCACATATGATAACTGTAATATTACTGTGTCAGGAGAAATAAGGACACACTCAAATCGTGTGCCTCCAATCTTTACTGATTAATAGGTCAGTGGTTAAGCAAAAGGTAGTAACTGCTGAGTGATTGTCCCATACACTTTCTTAGATATTTTACTGGAGTGCATTAGTTTTCTTTTTCTTTTCTTTCTCTTTTTTTTGTGTGTGTGGCCTACTTTCATATTCTTCTTAATTCAGCATTATATAATTAATTAATAATTTTGAGAGTAGACCCTATAATCTGCTGCTCTGAGAGCTGTTGAGCCAAGTTGTTTATTACTAACTAGAATATATAATTACTTATCTAGTGCAGCTTTTCCCCCCAAAATTTCACACACATTAACTCATTTGTTCCTCACAGCCTGAGTTGTATCCTCATTCGTACTAAAGAAGCAGACAGAGATAATATAGGCTGGTAGCAGAACTACCATAGAGGTGATTTATAAAATGTCCATTCTGATTAGCCAGGCTTCTGTTTGGTTTGGGTGGTGCCTATACCTTACCAGTAGTTAAACAGTTTGACTATCACCCTGGAAGCAGGTTTACAATGTTTTAAATTACTTGCTTCAAGATACATGATTAGGCAACAACAGTGTTAGTAAATGACAAAACCAGAACTAGAACCCAAGCCTTAAAATTTCTAGGCAAGTTCTCTTTCTACTAGATCAATCTTTCATTAATAATAGTGGCAAGTAATCACCTATCCAAAAATATTTTTATAAAATTAAATTTTAGACAATATTTTTCTTTCTCTAGCAAAATAACAAAAAAATAATACTCATTTGAAATGAGAGGTTTTCCCCCCCTTAATTAAGATATGTAAAGTCGCCCTGGCTGGCATAGCTCAGTGGATTGAGTGCGGGCTGCGAACCAAAGTGTTGCAGGTTCGATTCCCAGCCAGGGTACATGCCTGGGTTACGGGCCATAACCCCCAGCAACCGCACATTGATGTTTCTCTCTCTCTCTCTCTCTCTCTATCTCCCTCCCTTCCCTCTCTAAAAATAAATAAATGAAATCTTAAAAAAAAAAGAAAGTCATTAAAAAAAAAGATATGTAAAGTCACTAGACTAGAACATGGCATATATGTGTTTGCAATTATTATTATTCTGAAAAGGTGTCCTGTGTTACCTCAGATATCAAAGTACTATTGGATTAAGTGATATTCGAAATTATTAAGTACGTAATGTTAATCATAAAAACATTATAGTCATTATTTAGAGAAAACTAGTGTGTAATATTTCTGTGACATCAATTTATCACCAAAACCTGTATCTTTTTCTCTAATAACTAGGTGGTAATTTAATGTTAATGCTTGGCTTTGAACATCTTAAATTTATGAACTGGTACCTAGAATACCAAATTGTCCTGCTTTTTAAAAATCCTTTCTTGTCACCATTTAAATCTCTACGCAGATCCACCAGGCATGCAAACTAATCTGCAGAAAATGCAAACGCCATGTGACTGACCTGACAGGTCAAGTGGTACAGGAAGGAACCAGGCGCTACAGACTCTGTAATGAGTGCCTTGCTGAAGTTGGCATAGACAGCCTCCCCATTGATTTGGAAGCCGAACAGCATCTTATGTCCCCATCAGATGGAGATAAGGATTCCAGATGGCACTTGAGTGAAGATGAGAATAGATCGTATGTGGAGATTGTAGAGGATGGGTCTGCTGATCTGGTCATACAACAGGTTGATGATAGTGAAGAAGAGGAAGAAAAGGAAATAAAGCCCAACATTAGGTAGCGGTAACGTGAACCAACAGAGCTGGCATTCTGCAACTTACAGTGACCACCTGTATCTCTCTCTTTTCCATGATCGGAGACTGGTTAACACATTGTCAGACTGACTTAAAAGCAATCACCTGATAAAACTTGCATGTTTTCTGAACAGGCCATTGTATCCACTCTGAACTTTGCTGCCCTAAAATACGTTGCTGCACTGGAAAGAAAGACCTAGGTTGAGTTGGCATGATAGATGGACAATTAATCCTCTTTTATTACAGAGAAGATACCTTTCTTCTTTTAGTATTGGGAGCTCTACTTAGCAAACCTTTTTCAAAGAAAATATTTTAAATAAATTTACCACAACCAAACTTTATGTAAGGTAATTTCAAGCGTTTCAAAAACACATACTGAATTTTCATAGGGAGCCAGGTAAGAGCACATTTAAGAGTCAGACACCCAACCTGACTGAACTAATAAGTCATTCTGTTAACTTAAGGGCCGCAACAACCTATCATGTTCATAAAGCAGGAAAGTTAATACTTCCTAAAAGTCAAGGCAGTTTGTGAAGATGTGTCAATATAGTTCTTTTCCTCCCTAAAGGGGAAAAAACCCCAAAACAAGAAAACTGGAGGTTCTTACCAGTTCTTTAGAGCAATTTCTAACATTTATGAATATTATTTTTACATATTATTTATAAAGATAATATTACGATCTTTGATTTGCAAATGCGGAAATTAAGGTCAGAAAGTGTAAGTGGTGGGACTGGTGTCTGAACAGGTTTTGATGTGAAGCAGTCCTCTTTCAGCCTTTTCTCCTCGTCATGTCCCCTGAAGTGGCGGAGAACTGAAGTTGCACTTTACCGGTCTGCAGTGATTATGAAAGAAGCCTATCAGAATTAGAAAGTGTGAGACAGGAAGACGTCAGTCATCTTCAACGACATATAATAACTTGAACTAGAGTTATTCAAATAGTGCTAAGTAATGTCCCTACGGTATCTACTGACATGTTTTTATGTCGTTATTTATACGTAAACTTTATATATAAAACTATTTGAACAAGTTATTCTCTTAAACGCTTTAAACATTTTTTTTGCTTATCTTGTATATGTAATTTTTCAGAGTAAACTTTTCTCCTAGGATATAAAGTTAAGTTTAAACTCGTACCCTGTGTGAATAATGAAACATTCCAAACTTAGTTAATTTGAAGAAGCATTGTTTTAGTTCTAAAGATAAAATCTGTATATCAGAAGTAAAGAACTGACCTCCGTAAAGGTCTCTGCAGGTTATCACAATAAAGCTTGATATAATTGAATTTAGATAGAGGCTCCATGTATTATACTGTATTTTTAAATACAGCCTGACATACCTCAAGATGATACTTTTTATATTATTATTTTCTTACATTCCTTAATTAGTGATCATTCCTGATACCAGTTTGTGGGCTAAAATAGTTCATTTCTTTAAAAAAAATTTTATAAGTAGATGAATAACCACTTTGTTTTATGGTACTTAGTTCTGAGATTCTGAGACTTTTTCAAGGTTCCTCTGATGGTGAATTTCCAGTTGCTTCTGGACTAGATGGGGTGCATTGAGTTCACTGTTCTCCCGATGTGACTGTCTTGAATCAGGAGTCTAAACAATGAAGTTGTATCCCAGTGAGGGAGGGGACAGTTGTCATGTCACTCTCTAGTCTCACCAGATGATGGGAACATCTTTCAGATTTATAGTCTGATTTTTAGTTGTTGGAGCCAATAGGAAAACCCACTGATTTGAGCTTTATTCATAGAAAGAAGTAGTGCTTGCATGCGTATACTCTTAACGCACTTTATAATCTAAATGTTCTTTTATGGTCTGATCTTCTGCATGCAAACTTTACCATACAGCAGCATGAGTGTCAGCAAAGCCCACTGAACACAGTGCCACCAGCACTTGTAGAGCCTTAACAGAAATAATGCTCTCTCCTAATTGTTTATAACAGGTATTAAGGAATCCCCACAGAAAAGCCATCAGGTTCCCCAAACTAGACAGCACATCTGTTCTATCATCTTAGTATCAGAAAAGAAGAACATTCATGACATGTTTGCAAGTTGTAAATAATACTCCAGTTATCATCTCCTATGTCTCTGAGTCTTTATAGAGACCAGCCCTTTTCTGGAATGAAACTGTTTATTATATTGGTTTCTGAGAAAGCTGAATTCTTTGGCTTTTAAATGTGGGGAAATGTTATATAGGTGTATAATCTGTTAATATAAGCTTATTTATGCAAAGGATTTTTTTAAAATGGAAAATAATGGGAATTGATTAGACCTGTTTGCTCTTGCAGGAATGCTGTTTATAGGCTTCTGACCATCCTTCTAATTAGGGTCTTTAAGAGTGTCTTGTTGATGGGATGAAGTTTTGCAAAGATAAAAGCATCACTGCAGTTGTGCCTAGTATCTGGGGGAAGCAAAATAGACTAGATCAGTGGTTTAAAAGATTTTTTTTTACCCTAGAAAACCATTTCTTCTAGTGAATTATTTCATAGAGAAGCCCAGCATTTAAGGAAGAAACTCTAAAATCAGAGTTGCTCTGGTTAAAGCTCCCTATGAGCCTTTCCCCGGGCACCTTGGCAGAGCTCAGGAGTACAGCATTGAAAACCTTGGAACTAGGTAACTTTCATTTCTCTCTGAGCATTAGTCTCTTTATTATTCCTATGACTCATTGCACTTATAAGCTGATAACCACAGGTTCTCTTAGAGCTGCAAATCATCCTTATTCAGTGTTCCTTCTGTAGTTACATCTTAGGACTTTAAGAATACATTTTTTAGTGTTGTATTGTTGAGTGATGAAATCAAAACAGGTACTGCTTTTTTTGTGGCCATTCTACTGCTTAATGGATTATAAAAGTTTCTTTTTTCAATTATTTATGAGCTCAGAACTAAATTCATTAAAGTTATTTTGCCAAGTCATGCTAAGATATATTGAAATTCCCATATGTCTGTATATATATATATTTTGTGGGGGGGCAGTCCTAAAGTTAATACAATGGAAAATCACTAAAAACAATACAGCATAAGAAGATGTGCTTAACTGGGAAGGGTGATAATAGTAGATCCTAGAGGACCAAAATTTCGATTACAAATGGAAAGTTCTATGTTATTTTATATGAATGAGTCAGTATTACTATTTATCATTTATATTGCATTTTATATTCACAAAGTATCTAATAAGTTTTGTTATTCTTTACATATCTAGGAAATAGGACAGTTATTCCACATAAGTAAAGAAATTGAGGCACAGAACAGTAAAGCAACCTACCTAAGACAACCCAATGAAACATAGGCAAAAATAGGAATTAGAATGCTCCAAATTTTTGAGTCCTGGAATATCAGTGTAATTCATTGAAGTATGTTATGTATTACTCTATTTTATAAGATGACTTTATACAAATAACAGTCAATTGTTTTAAAGCTGACATCATTGTATGTGATTAAATTCTATACAGAATAAATGTTATGTAAAGTATGTGACTTTATTTACAAGAGTTTTAATGATAAAATTCAGATTATCACAGAAATGACACTTTGGCCAGTTTCTGTATATATTGTGAAGTATAATTAATATTTTATTTTGATACAGGAATTTCTTAACTATGTATTCATACTAACGGAGCCACAAATATACTAAGAAAAATGGAATCCACAAAGGATCTATACACTTCATTTTCTAACATGTCAGTCTTCTCCCTACAGAACTCGTATAAATGCGAACAAAAAGTCAGATGTGTTAATAATAAGCAGTAAACCACACACAAAAGAAACCAAGGGACTCAACATTTAAAGGCAAAATATTTTGAAATGTACTTACTTACATAGCATGATAAACACTTTTCCCCATCCTGTTTTGTTTTTTCACATCAGCAAAAGTCATTGGATATTTTATAACCTTTAGAAATGAAACCAGTGACCAGGTTAATGCCAGTCACCACTTTACCTCTGGGATTGACTAGATCATTTGAAAATATTATTGCATCAAATACAGCTTATAAAGTACATCTAAGATTTTACTACATTTTGCTTTGCTCTTTCAGATTTCTAGATACAGAAATCCATTATATAGTTGTTGGGTTTTTTAAGCCTCACCTTAGGACATTTTTTTCATTGCTTTTAGAGAGAAGAAGGAAGGAGAGAGAGAAAAAGACAAACAAACATCAGTTGTCTCTTGCACAACGTAGGTATGTGCCCTGACCAGGAATCAAACCCGCCACTTCTCAGTTTGCAGGACAGCGCTCCAGCTGAGCCATATGAGCCACAGCTATATAGTTTCTTGGTTTTCCCACTGGGGAGGTTTTTTAATCCCTAGTTGATACTATTTACAAATACTTAATCTCTTTGCTCAAGAGTAACTTTTAAAAAAAGATTTTATTTTTTGAGAGAGGGGAAGGGAGGGAGAAAGAGGGAGAGAAACATCAGTGTGTGGTTGTGTCTCATGAGCCCCCTACTGAGGATCTGGCCCGCAGCCAAGACATGTGCCCTACCTAGACTGGAAGTCCAACCGGCAACTCATTGATTTGCAGGCCGGCGCTCAATCCCCTCAGCCCACCAGTCAGGGCTAGAGTAGCATTTTTATTCAGCTTGTAAGGGAAAAGAATGGAAAAACATTTCTGTGTTAACTGTAGTTCTCAACCTTGGCTGCACATTAGAGTCATTTGTGAAGTTTTTAAAAAATATAGATGCCTGCCCTGGCTAGTGTAGTTCGGAGGATTGAGTTTGGCCTGCGAACCAGAGGTTTGTCGATACAATTCCCAGTCAGGACACATGCCTGGGTTGCAGGCCAGGTCCCCAGTGGGGGGTCTGCAAGAGGCAACCACACATTGATGTTTCTTGCCCTCTCTTTCTCCCTCCCTTCTCTGTCTAAAAATAAATAAGTAAAATATTAAAAAAATACGTAGATGCTTAAGCAAATTAGAATCTCAGGCAGATGGGGCCTGGCGTAAGTATTTAAAACAAATCTTCCTAGCATTTTTTACATGCACAACATCTATTCCAGGTTTCCCCCTTTCTTGCCCATATAGGTACTAGAGATGGGCACTCAGGCCATTTGACCTTCCAGTGCATTAGTTCTCAATCCTATCATTAAGGAAAAATTTTAAAATACAGATGCCCAGTTCAAGAAAATACAAATTTTGTGAAATTACAAGATACTATGTATGTTCCCTTAACTAACATTTTTGTTAGGGACAGATATGAACACTAAACTAGTAGGCAGTCTTAAAATAGCCCATTTTTCCTTTGTGATGTATTTGGATTTTGATTATGGGTATTACATTCTGGAAATTCACATAGTACCTCAGACTAATAAAAAAACTATATTAGGAACATGTGACTGGAATATGATACCCTGAAGTTTTGTGAGGTTTAATGTTTTTGCTTTTAAAAAAGGAACCAGAACACTGTCCAAGCATTATGATGCTTAATTGCTACATGTTAGAATTCCATCAATGAATGGAATTAAATAAATTTTTTAAGATTTTATTTATTTTTAGACAGGAAGGGAGAGAGAAAAACATCCATTGGTTGCCTCTCACACACTCCCAACCAGGAACCTGGCAGGCGACCCAGGCATGTGTCCTGACTGGGAATGGAACTGGTGACCTTTCCCTTTACAGGACCACACCCAACCCACTGAGCCCCACCAGTCAGGGCTGAATTAAATTACTTTTTATTGTAGTTAAACATCACACTACAGAAATAGTACTCAAAACTAAGATGTGTTTTTTTAGGAAAGATTTGGAAACAAAAAGCTTTATTTCAAGAATTGCCATTAAACGTTTTTTTTTTTAAGATTTTATTTATTTATTTTTAGACAGAGGAGAAGGGAGGGAGAAAGAGAGGCAGAGAAACATCAGTGTGTGGTTGCCTCTCCCATGCCCCCCAACCAGGGGCCTGGCCTGCAACCCAGGCATGTGCCCTGACTGGGAATCAAACCGGAAACCCTTTGGTTCACAGGCTGGCACTCAGTCCACTGAGCCACACCAGCCAGGGCTAATTTTTTTTTTTTAAATAATATCTTCTGAGTAGAGTACCATTCTCATTGCCATGTTTAAGGTTATGTTTGCAATTCAAACACAAGTATATCCCTTCGGTAGTGTTGTATATACAGACACTCCCTTGCTTAGTCTCCTCACCCTGCCCCAACACACACCATATCCAATAACAAAGGCGGCATATTATTGTACAATTCAAAAAGGTTAAATGCTAAAATTAAATAAAAATATTGTGCCTTTTGTTGCGTGAGTTGATCTAAAGCTTCTTCCTTTTGGAGGAAAAGATCCCCAAGGAAGACAACAGTGGAAAACGGTGCCTATAAGCATTGGCCCTAGATGCTCCAGTGTTTCAGGGAACGTTTACAAGTGAAAACCCGTTTTTTTTCCCCTAACCAGTAGCGACGTTTATTCGCACTCAGGCAGGTGACCAGAAGACTACGCCGGCTACTAGACCCTCAGAGAAGCCTCGGACCTACCAGACACCCCTAATAACAGAGTCTGGGTAGTGGGGGCAGAGGGTGTTGAAAGCAAATTTTCTGCAGGATGTATTGGGCGCCCTATAAAGAGCCTACATTTGCCAGGATCTACTAGATGCCAGGACTCAAGTAGGCACCCGCGCCTTTCCCATTTAAAACAGGAGGAAATAGAGGCTTAAGAAATGACCCCAAAGCCACCCGCGACTCCGTGCCTCTCGGGGATTCGAGCCCACACAGTGGAACGCGTACCGCTACCTAAAACCGTCGCTCTGCTGTTGGCTGGGCTGGTCTGTTTTGCCCCTCTTGGTTACAAGATTGTTATCTGCACCCTGACTGGCGTAGCGCAGTGGATTGAGCTCAGGCTGAGAACCAAAGTGTCGCAGGTTCGATTCCCAGTCAGGGCACATGCCTTGGTTGCAGGCCATGGCCCCCAGCAACAGCACATTGATGTTTCTCTCTCTCTCCCCCCTTCCCATCCCTCTCTAAAAAATAAATAAAATCTTAAAAAAAAAAGATTGTTATCTGCGAGACAAAGCATTTCAATGCTCTAGGCATCCCTGAAATCTCCTGCACCCCCAGCCCTCTTCTCACACAAGCCGCAGGGATGGTACCCCTGGCCTCGGGCTCAGGGAGGTGGGCCCCAACGGCCAATCAGCGCCTTAGGCGTTCGGGTGCAGAGAGCGAACCCCACTCTGCATCAGTTCGTTGGCCAGATTCTGACTCACTGTTTTCAAGTTTACAGAGTGCCTGCCTGTTCTCATTTCTTCCTTTCCTCCTTCTCGTCCTTTCTTTTCGAGGGAGTCATAACTCTTTGAGATACTGGCCAACAAGTTTTATCCTGACAGCCACATGAAGTTGGTACTATTTTGGCCAATGAAGAAACAGGGTTAGAGTGGTGAAAAGACTTCGCCAAGATCAGAGAGGAAGTCCCAAGAAGGAAATTGGAAGCAGAGGCTTTGGCTCCAATCTTTCAGGTATATATATATATCCATCCACATATTTTAAAGTGAGGCACTTATAATGACTTAGGGAAATCAGATGCAAGGCAGAGAAATGAAATGATGTCCTGGAGTAAGTTTACATTCTAGGTGGAGAGACTTCCATACAGCTAATAATAACGTGAAGTAGAAAGTACCAAGTGCCAGAAGCACATCCATTTATTTCTTCAGCAAATATTTTAGTATCTTCATTTGCACCCTCTTCCAACTACCCTGTTTCCTAGAGTAAATTCAATTTGGGTAGGGAGAATTTGTATTTGTTTTTGCATAAAAACAAATGTAAGTAACACAAATGGTCCTTAATCCAAGATGCTGATATATTTAAAATTTTTAAATTTATTTAGGAGAGATGGGGAGGGAGGAGAGGGAGAGAAACACTGATCTGAGAAACATGGATTGGCTGCCTTCCATATACGCTCCAACTGGCGGCCGAACCTGCAACCCATCCTGTGCGAACCCAGAATCCAACTGGCAACTTCTCAGTCTGCAGGAACCCAACCAAGTGAACCACACCTGCTGGGCTCTGCTGATGTATTTTTAAGGACAATTTTGAGCTAATGCCTCTTAGAATGGAAAGGACATCTAAAATTTGCAGACACAATGAAAGGAAGAGAGTTGATCAATAAGGGAAACTAGCAAATAGTTGAGTGCAGGGAATGGAAGTATAAGAGAAGTTAAAGAAAACTCCAGTGTGGGATTGTGGGAGGGTTGGGTGATACTAAAAAAACAAGAAACCTGGAATGTGGATATGGAAACATGACATTAGAGACCTCTCCCTAAGGAGCACATCACCAGGGGCCTTGGAACCCAGAAGACCTGGGTTAAATGTCACTGAAAATAGACAAGATGGAAGGTTCAAAGAAGGTAATAAAATACCAGAAGCCAGTTCCTTTGCTTTTTAAAGTGCTTGCTATTTAAAAGGGGAGTTGGACTACTACCTATGTTAAAAGACTTGATGCAGCAAAGTATCCATAAATTTAAAATGCTAAGTATTTCACTGGAACAGAAAGGACCCAGTATAGCAGGGATCAGAAAGTGGGGGCAAGTCCAAACAGCTTCCAAGAGGTGAGTTCCCAGTTATATAGAAAAAAGACAAGATTCGCTGGTAAGAATCTGGGTAACAGAACAGACAGTAAACTGGTGGTTGCCCAGGGCTTCGAGGTATGGGAGAGATGATTGCTTAACAGTGGTTCTTTTCATCTTTTTATTCATTAATTCATTCATTCATTGAGGAGGGAGGGAGGGAGGGAAACATCAATGTGTGGTTGCCTCTCACGTGCCCCCTACTGGACACCTGGCCTGCAACCCAGGCATGTGCCCTGACCAGGAATCAAACTGGTGATCCTTTGATTTGCAGCCTGCACTCAATCCACTGAGCTACACCAGCCAGGTCTTTTTAGGAGGAAAAATGTTTGCAAATTGATTGTGGTCCTGGTTGTGTAAGTGTGAATATGGTAAAAACCATGGAGTTGTCCTTTAAATGGTAATTGTACAGTATGTGAATTATACCTCAATAGTTATAAAAAGAATCTGGGCAAAGACATCAAAGGTTATGTGGTATGACCTTTGCCGGTGCATTTGGGTAGGCTGCTCTGGCCACTGGGACAATGAGAAAGGCAGAAACAAATATGCCCAATAATTTGTCCATTTTTATTCTCAATGTGATACAGCCTTTGAATGTTTAATACTGTGCATATCAAGGGAATCAGTTAGGAACCATAATTGGAGGAGCAATTGGTTTGGCATAATGGGATAAGCAGTTTTTGAAAATAGATGCTCAACTTGGATGTTAGAAAGAAAACTTGATTAATCCTGGAAGGACCACTAGAGAAGCAGGAGAGGGAGCAGCAGAGACTAGTGGCTTTGTTTGCTCTTACTGATACATGTAGACTCTAGCACAATGGCACCGACTACAACTGGGGTTATCTCTAGGATGGCCACACCCCCTAACCAAGCACCGTGGGCTTTTTAAAATTAAGGAGAAAAGTAAGGGGGTGTTAGCATGTTTGCTGCAGTAACAATAGCCCTCATTTACTGTGTTACGCACTGTCCTAAGAGCTTTATGTGTATGTATTCATTGAGTCCTCTCAACAACCCTACAAATACTAGCATCACCACCTAAAATGAGGAAAGTGACACATGGGCAAGTTACACAACATGCCCAAAGTGGAGAATAAATAAGTGGGGAAGCAAGGATGAGAACCCCAGTGATCTGGCTCCAGTTTGTGCTATTAACCACAACCCGAAAATAAAAACGTCAGCCCAGCAGTGTTTAAATTCCACAGCTCCGCCCTGACTGATGTGGTTCAGTGGGTTGAGTGCTGGCCTGTGAACCAAAAGGTTACAGGTTCAATTCCTGGTCAGGGCACATGCCTGGGTTGTGGGCCAGGTTCCCTGTTGGGAGCACGAGAGGGAACTGGTCCATGTTTCTCTCCCTCTCTTCCATTCCAAAAAATAAATAAAAACTAAAAAAAAAAAAAAGATGCTTAAAGCCCTGGCTGATATAGCTCAGTCAACTGAGCGCAGGCTGAGAACCAAAGGGTTGCTGGTTTGATTCCCAGTCAGGTCCTCAGTGGGCACCACACATTGATGTTTCCCTGACTCCCTCCCTTTCCCTCTCCCTAAAAATAAATAAAATCCTTAAAAAAAAAACAACCCTAATTTGTGCCTAATTCACATTTTGAAGAAAAGATTCTTAACCTAAAAAAGCTGGGGACAGTTGCATGCCAACTATACTTTAGTAAAATATTAAAAAGGTATGTGATGGGCAAAAAAACAAAGTCAACTTCACATATTAAGGGTAACATACTCATTTTTCTTCCATGCAGAATGTTCATTCTGGCATATTTACTTATTTAATCCTCACCTGAGAGCATTTTTTTATTGCTTGTAAAGTGTGGAAGAGGGGAGGGAGAGAGAACATCAATTGGTTGTCTTCTGCACGCACACCGACCAGGGATTTTACCCACAACCTAGGTACGCGCCCTGTCCAGGAATCGAACCTGCAACCTTTCCGTGTATGGGACGTGGCTCCAACAGAGCCACACCAACCAGGACTATCTTGGCGTATTTTAAAACAAAGTAATGTCTAAAATTGTGAAAAATTATATATTTATCATAAATAAAAAGAAACAATTTGTATTGCATAACATTTGACTTGGTTTTTCACTGAACTCCATTATATAGCATTGTTGGTAACAGAAACAGCTGTGCTTTTCCTCCTAGTCAGGTTTATACACTACCTAGCTTAATCCATCCCTAGAGATCTTATTCTACAGTTGTGGCTCTCCCACTGCCCTCACGGTACCCCCTTGTTTATTTTCACAATCAACCCCCCAAGTAGCCCATGATGTGCAAAGGGGTCTATGAAAAAAAAGAGCCCGCCCCCCATCTGGAAATTCATCCTAACAAAAGGCAGAAATTCTAGACATTTTTTTGCTTGGAGAGTCACAATCCAGATTTGCAAAATGTGCCTAAGATTAAAGAAGGTTAAGAAGCACTACCCCATCAATCCTGCTAGGTATTAATTTGAAGAGCTACAGGCTCTTTGCCTAGCTGTCATTAGTCCCACTCTTTTAAATACCCAGGGAAAATAATGCAGTGCTCAGACAGAACACTTGGAAAGCTCACCATCTCTTCCTCTTAGGTCAAGTTCAGCCTACTGTAATATTTAGCACCACCAGTGGCAATCTCTTCTTATGTTTGGGTGAATAAATAGAAACTTTGCAAACCCTTGTATCACAAGAAAGAATACCTCAATTAATGAAAAGAGTAAGTTTGCAAATCAAACCAAAGCAGTTTCATTTTTTTAAAGTCATCAACTTTGAAAAGTTCAGATCATTCTAAAGTTCTTTTCTTTGACTCCTGTCTCCTTAGAAATAAAGAGCTTAGGTAATTTTTAAAAAACCAATAAATTTTTAAAAATTCCCACCCCAGCTGCTGCGGTTCAGTGGGTTGAGCGCCAGCCTGTGAACCCAAAGGTCGTTGGTTAGGTTCCCAGTCAGAGCACATGCCTGGGTTGCGGGCCAGGTCCCTGGTTGGGAGTGTGTGAGAGGCAACCAATCGATGTTTATCTCACACACTAGTGTTCTTCTCTAACTGTATAAATAGACTGGCTTTAATATAAAATTACATGTTAGAAGGAAGGGCTCATTTGTAAGGGCATTAGGTTTTTCTTATGGGAAAACAAGGAAGCGTCAATACAATCCACTTTGGGACCAGGCTGGAGTGCTGGCATTCCACTGGAGGGACGTGAGCCCCTGCTGCCACAGCAGGGAATAAATCAGGAACCATACTTGCCACCTGAAGAATTTTTTAGCATTTGAATATTTGGTTAATAAACCAAGGCTATGCCTTGATTTTCCATTTGTGAAAGTTACACTTTTAAGTCAAAAATTTCTGTTCTGCACATCATCATGTATCGTCAGATACTGTAGAATTTATATCATGATATCTTCTCAAAAGGAAGAGAAAACACAGTTCTTCATAGGAGGCTTTGCTTGTTCGTTTGTTTTTTGTATCTTAGATGTCAATGATCACAAAAACTTGTGGCTTCTCTTCATTATAGACCTGCATTGCTGAATATGTTATTGCCTTAACTTCAGTTCCCTAAAGTTTGGGTTAGAGAAAAAGACAAAAAGGACATTGAAATCAGAATCATTAACTCTAGAACAATTGGCAGAAAGTCAAAATTTTATTATTCTGAGAAACTAAAAACTCAGTGAAACAATTAGTTATCAAATTGATATAGTATTACATATTGATCTAATAAAAACATGTGCACAGTGGAGACAGCACTGAACTGGAGTTAGGAGATGGAACTCTAATCCTGGCTTTGTTTCCACCTGGGTATGGAAGCCGTCTGACCTCTCTGGGCGTCAGCTTTTCCATTTATCAAATGCACTGAATCAAAGAACACAAACTTTCCTATTATTTGCTTGGGTTCCTTCTGGAGACTTCCTCCTTGCAGTGTAACCTGGGCTCTAGGAACTCAGTCTGTTCTCCTTTCTGCTGCCACTATTCACTGTACCTTAGAGGGCTCTCTCCCCACATGTTCATCATACATGACAATGCCCTGCTCCAGTTTAGAAACACAGTATTTGATGTTCTCTTAGTTCCTTTTATAATAATTCTGTTCACCACAAAATGCACCAGAGAACAGGGGGCTGGCATGTGCTAGCTCTGTGGCACCAAAGAAATCCGAGGATTTCAGACGGATCTGAATGGCACCTGCCTCTGCTTTTTCCCCTCCGCCATAAACCCCAGGGGAACAACCACCTCAATCAAACTCAACTTTCTGCCTGTGGCAGCACACGCCGTGCAGACTGGTAGCACCTTAAAAGTCTTCCACAATTCTCAAAAGGGTACTCGGCAATGACCAGTAATCCAATTGTACATTTACCACAAATTTCCTTTCTCACTCTGAGGCAACTGAAATTTCACATCTTCACCTCTAGCCTCCCTCTTTCATTCTCACTCTCTCTCTCGACTGTGTTCTCTAAGAAAAGCACAAGAGCAATCAATAAGAAGTGACTCACCTTCCCCCACCAAATCTACCACCCTACTGTATCTGTACTCCCACCAGCCTTTGCTCCTGTTGCAATGGCCAGTCCCTGCTCCTATGAGAAGGCCAACTTCACTTCAATACTCTATCTGACCCCCAACCCCTAGCCCTTAACAACAAAGTCTTTGCTCTAAATTCACTCTCCCTCTGCAGCATGATCAATTTTTCCCCATATCCTAGATTATTTCCACTTGGCATACAATGGTGCTACAAAACCTTCCAGCTAATACAAGGCAAAGCACGAAAATTCCTTACTAGCCACATACCCCTCTAGCTATTACATGTTCCCCTTTTCTGCGAAGTCGTCAAAAGAACTGTCTCAGTATACTGGCCTCTACTTTCCCAACTCTAAGTCCTTCTTGACCTACCCCCAAATATTTACATCATTCCACTGATTAGTAAATTCAAGGTCAATTCTCTGTCCTTACCTTACTCAACCTCGAGAGCATTAGAATCTGGCTTCCAGGGCTGCCCTCTTCTCTTGCTCCCCTCACTAGGCCGCCTCCTCCCTCTTTTCCTTTTTGGGTCCGAACTTAATGCCCCAGGGGGTTCAGTCCTCTGTCCTACTCTCTCTTAGCTGCCCTGCCTCCTTGGTAACTTTATCTAGTCCTATGACTGTAAACAATCATCTATTCAGTGAGGACTCCTAAAATCTGTATGTCCAGACACACCTCTCTCCCGAACAAGTCATTCTATACACAAATGCCTATTATCTGACATATCCATTTGGATGTCTAATAAACTTCTCAATTATAACATGTTCAAAAAACTCCATGTGTCATTTGTATTATAAAAATGTTTTTAATTCATATGCTCCCCACTACTTGTTTCTCTTCATTCTATGCTTCTCTTTCTTTTGAAGATACTGCACCAGGCTTCATTTCATCATACAGTGGTTGACGAAATGATACCAGCACTTCCCAGTCACCTCCAAGTTGTTTAGATCTCCTTGACCTGAACACAGGGGTCGGGAAACCACAAATCACAGGCCAAATCCAGCCCGCCATCTGTTTTTGTACAGTCCCACAAACTAAGGATGGTTTTTACATTTCTAAATGGTTGGGGGGAAAAAGTCCAAAAAATATTTCATGACATGTGAAAATGATATGAAATTCAAGTTTCAAGGCCCATAAGGTTTTACCAGAACACAATCGCATTTATTCATTCACGTATTGTCTATGCGGCTGTCATGTTACAACACAAGAGGTGAGGGGTGGCTCTTCCATCGCTCCACCCACGAAAGCCTAAAACAGTATCTGGCCCTTTACAGGAAAATTCGGTCTACCCCTAATTCCAACAGATACAAGCTGGCAAATACAGAGAGGCTCAGGAGGTAGAAGGTCCTTTAGAGAACATCTAGTCCACAACCTTCATCACAGAGGGAGAAATCAAAGCTCCAAAAGGCAAGGGACTTTTAAGTCCCACAATAACCAGTAACAAACCTGACCCTCAAACTCAATTGCTGACTTTTAATTAATTCACCAAACCAGGTATGTGAAGTAAGCGTTTTAACAAAATGTGTTCAAAGAGGTCAAAGACAGTTGAGAAAAGCTTATCACTTTATACCAATTTATTAGAAGTCATTGAAGTTAACTGTCACACACACCAAACTTTATGGTAAGGAAGTATAAAATGTTTTTAACGACTGGAGTAGAAACATACCTGAGGGTGCTTGGACAATGAGAATTCTTCTCCCCACCTTGAGAAGGAAAATGAAAGCATAATTAAGATGTCCAAGATTTATTATTTGTTCTCTTTACAGATTTTATTTGTGTTTTTTTCCTTTTTATTAAGTTTACTGAGGTGACGCAGGTTAACAAAATTATACAGGTTTTCAGGTGCACAATTCTACAACACATCATCTGTACAATGTATTGTGTGTTCACCACCCCAAGTCAATTCTCTATCCGTCACCATTTATGCCCCCTTACCCTCCACCTCCCTCCAAATCCTCCCATTTACCTATTTTAAAATAAGCCTTACAAATGTAGTTAAGATACTAAAAAGCCAAGAGGTGGAAGGGGTAAGAAGCTATAAATTTCATTTTAATTGCCAGCAGACACAGCTACTCAGAATCTTTTAAAAAAAAATGTGCTCTAATATAGTGTGCATAGACAGATTCTCAATAAACACTCTCGAGTGAATATTATTTCATAATAGGGTAGCATGTCCAAAATGGTCACTGTACTCAAGGATACACAACTAATAAAATACCATGTCCCACCGGAGAAAGCAAAATGAGGCAAAATAATAGATTCTATACTACGGGCTGAACTTCGTTTGCACTTTATAACTTTAAAAAATGTCCATGTCTGTGTATGGAAGGCCCTACAAAGGCACTCGCTCTCCCAGAGCGTGGCTAGAACTAAGTGTCTTCTCTCCCTTCAACACTAACGTGGCTGAAGACCGCAGTAGCAGAAGCAGTAGTAGTAGAAAGAGGAAAATTTTAAAACTTTGTTCAACCATTTATTAGCTAAGTACCCTGGACAAGCCTATCCGCCCCCCCAAAAAAAGTGGCGCTAATAAAAGACCTCACTTTACAAAAAGAAACAAAATAAAATTCAACATAAAATGGAAAAGATAGGCTTTATATAAAAATAACATAAAAGATATTGAGTAACTAATGACACTTGGGAAACACCAAGCGCCATCAAAGTGACCTAATCAAGTGTTAGCAAACTCCGGAAGAAAAGCATAATTTAATAGAAGAAACTGGTTTGAATAGAGTCCAGGTGTGAGGATCTATGAAAAATGACAAATCAGTGTTTCCCATCACCAAGCTAGGCTTTATGCATATATCAAGGCAAACTAGCAATTATGTATTTTTTTGTGATAAAAATCAATAAACAGGTAGTTAGCTTTGACAACTCAAATCAAGTCTGTTCTGACAAGTTTCTGGTCCTCCAAAGCTGAAGTGAGCTCTCCCTCCTAGGTGTCTAACAAACCTTAACCTACTTAACCAGTTGAAAAAAGCCCTACCAACTGAGATACAATTGGTCTTCTGACTTTGTCTGCTAAGTCCAGTGACCAATGTAACTTAACATCTTTCATGACTTGCTAGTTAAAAAAATGTTCAAAACTCACCCAATTGACCGTAATTTGAAATTTCTTTGATCAATACTAAGTACTTTTACTTCCTAAAGAGAAAAAAAAATTAATTGAAAAGAAATGTTCATTACAGACCATCTACTAAACACACGTCTAGGTTATCACCTTTTCTAGGTAACAGCATACAACTTGTATTATGCAAAGAAAATTAAAACGTTAACTAAAATAGAATAATAAATATACTTCAAGGAAATAATGTTTTATTCTTATATTTAAGGGAGGAGTACAATCTAAAAACAAGTCGAAAGAATTTTTCTGTAAAACAGGATGACATAAGATTTCAAACACTCTCAGCCTATGTTTTTCAACTTTACTGAGGTATAATAGACAGAACTCTTAGCCCATTTTTATGTAATACTGCAGGCACTTGAACTCTGTAAGACGAATGACCCAGCTGGAAGGGTGTGTGTAGGGATCTGGTAAGGGCGAGAGAGTGAGGAATTAGGGGAGCAAGGAGGAGCCACGTGTGCTCGAGAACAGTGATGCTGGAGAGGTATTCCCTTCCAGAGGTTGATGGCAACAAGCAATCTCCTTTTGGCTTTTTCTTTGTCACATTAAGGAAACACTAAAAGGACCAATTTTTTGACTTAGGCCAACATGGCAGAGCTGCTCAATTTCAAATGGGACAAATGGACAAAAATATAGCTCAAACTTGGGAGACATAAAAAGTGTCGATGAAGACAGTAACTGCATTCTTATCGCACAATCCTGATTGGTGACAAGTAGGTACTAAGAGATTGAAATATAAACGGCATATACATGGGCACACTCAGGTTAACCACGGAGAGCCTATGGTCATTATAATCTCTACAAATCAATATCATTGTTACATATCTGTATGGCTTGGTTTTATGTCACATGTTCTACTTTAAATCACTTGTGCCATTTTAAAATATTAACTAAGAACCCATATGCTCAGTTAAAAAAAAAAAGAAAAAAGAAAAGAAAAAAGAAAAGAAAAATCCTCACTTACCCGGGGTATGAAGAATTCATCGGCACTGAACTTATAAAGCCACTCATCCAAAAAGTGAAACAAGAGAGACTGCAAGTCATCTCCTACACAGAATTGAAAAGAACCATAATAGTATGATGTCTAATAATTCTCGTCTGTAAAAATTTGTTTGAATTTAAAAGCACAATGAATTTCTTAGGCAAGTTGCAAGAGGAAGAACAGGTTCATAATCATTTTTGTTGCTCTTAGTGTGAAAATATTCTGCAGTTATGTAGAATACTGCACGCTTGTATAACAATCGTCCCTGTAGATAAACTGGTTACCTTGTGTTTCTACTTCCACTGTTTGGAGGGGCTCCACAGTCCCCGTATCTGTCATGTAACCAAACATGGCCATTGCACATTGCTCGAATGCTTCCTCCAGAGTATCTCCCCATGCGTGTAACCTGAAGAAATAAATACATTCATGCCCTGTGTAATATAACCCACTGCAAAAGAGGAAACCTGACTGCAAAGTCAAAATAAAATCAGTATGATAAATACAAAACCAAAGGCCTTCAATCAATTTAATGGCACTGAAACTGGGTGCTTTTAAGCCATCATTTTCATGTTCTAAAGGACCATGAATAAGAGAAAAATTAAAACTGGGGACATCAAGATTAAAACATCAGCCTTCTTATTTAAGCACATGGTTTCAAAGGCATCAATCCCAGCTGTACTCACTGGACATCCGCTGTATGATCCAGATCTGAGGGAGAGAACAGAAAACACTATGAGTAACTCAACTGGACTTGCTAATCACAAGAAAAGAATTCTCGTTCATTGCTGACACCAACCTTGGAGAGAGAAAATGTGGGTAGATCACACCTTCTGCTATCCATTTACACAAAAGTTAACTGTTTTATTAAGGGTTAGTTTTAATTTTTAAAATTTCTTCTAGGCATGTACAGTTGTTATTCTGTTCATATAAATTAAGTAAATGGCTAAACAACTAATAGTGATATAATATTAGTATATTAGTGTTAAAAGGTTATTTTTTTAAAGATTTATTTATTTTTAGAGAATGGGGAAGGGAGGGAGAAAGGGAGGAAAACACCAATGTGTGGTTGCCTCCTGCACCCTACCCCCGCACTGGGGACCCAGCCGGCAACCCAGACATGTACCCTAGACTGGGAATCGAACCAGGACCCCGTGGTTCACAGACCTGCGCTCAATCCACTGAACCATGCCAGCCCGGGCTAAAAGGTTATTTTTTAATCCCAAAATTTACATTTAAAAGAATGACAACTTCCGGAAGGCAGTGGGGTGCTGGTCTTCTAGGTGACCTAAAACGTATCTAATACATCATAATTTCTCAATTTAAAAAAATGTTATTTCCTGACATTAGTTACTTTTCCTCACAAAACAAGTATCTACTGTATGAATGATCAAAATTCTAGAACTATATCATCATCAAAGATATGAAATTCCAGATTTCCCTGCTTCACCTTTTCATGCACAGTTAGCCAAATCCTAGATAAAATAGTTTTGGGGGTTTTTAAAACAAGAACCAGGTTTTTTATCTGGTGACTTCTAGCATTTGAAGAACTCCTCGATGATCTAGTTGGTTGATTAAACAGTTTTAGAAAGTCAACTCTACAACATGTATTATGAGCTTTTTCCTGACGGTCTCCCAGGAGTATCAGTGACAACAGCTACTAGAGCAAGCTCCCACTGGATCTGCTATCTCAACATTTCCATCTGTTCTTCACTTGTAGTATAGCTTTCATCAATTCTTCCCACTCAGAATCACAGAATATTCAGGATGGAAGTCTTAGAGACCATTTAATATAATTCTTTCCCTCACAAGAAGCAGCCTGAAACCCAGAGACCGTATGACTTGTCCAGGGCTACACTGTGGATCAGAGGTAGGGTTAAGACTGGAACTGAGATTCTTCTGACTCTCGATTGAATGCACTTTCCACCATAATACATCATCATCTGGTGGCACTCGAGGTTCAAACTCATCGCTAATTTACTCAGATATATTACTGGGGACTTCAGACATTTCAGGCATGAAGGGGCTCGTGACCAGCAGAGATGACAAACTAGTTAAAAGAAAATGAGTAGTATTAACCCTAGAGAAATGAAAGCATGTATCCACAAAAAGACATATAAGAATATTCAAAGCAATTTTATTTCTCAGGATTAAAACCCAATGTCTGCCGAGAGAACAGATAAAACACACTAAGGATGCCTTGGCTGGTGTGGCTCAGTGGATTGAGTCCCGGCCTGCAAAACGAAAGGTCGCTGGTTCGATTCCCAGTCTAGGGCACATGCCTGAGTTATGGGCCAGGTCCCTAGTACAGGGCATATGAGAGGCAACTAATCGATATATCTAGTGCACATTGATGTTTCTCTTCCTCTCTTCCTCCCTCCCTTCTCCTCTAAAAATAAATAAATAAAATATTAAAAAGAAAACAAACAAAAAAACCCCCCAAGGAATATAATGTGATACTACTCAGCAATAAAAAAGTGTGAACTCTTAATACTATATTAACATGAATCTCAAAAAACATTAAGTGAAAACTACAGAACTCGCAGCACCTAACAACTCCATCCAAACCCTTCTGTAGTAAGAGAAGGGCATAGTTTGTGCACTGGTTCTAGCAGCCTAAAGCCACCCACCTTCCTAGGATTACAATCCTTACCCCTACCCATACCCCACTTAAGATGCCTGCCTGAGAAATTGCAACACAGCCAGAAGAATTTACTGTTTGTTCTGGCCAGCACCTGACCACAAGCCCTTGACCTCCCTATCTTAGAGCACTGACTAAAAAGGACTTACGTTGTAAATATTTTATCTGTTACAGCTCAGAAGTGTCTTTCTCAAGGACTCCAGAGCCATTCCTTTGAAATGTAATCACCAGGAAGGACTGTCTCCGTGGGAGGACAGAATCCTAACTTTGCAACTGCCAGCTAGCAAACACTGCCGGCCTGAGTTTACACTAACCCAAACTTTTTAAAATTTTCACTTCTTGGTGTCTACTGAGCTCCATTTTCTCCCTCCATTCCTTTCTCCCTTTAAAACAGGAGGGGATTAACAGTCCTCCAGTCCCCTGCCTCCCATACTGGATTTTTTTTTGGGGGGGGGGGGGCTTGACCACAGAGGCCTGTCAGTCTAACTAGGCGGTATAAACCCATCCAAAACCCATGAAAACTTGAGAAGTTGATTGGTCACTTTGAGAAAGCACCTGGTCTATCCCAAACCCAAGCTCCTGGTTATAACCCCAGGGGGACAACGAACTTTCTTCCTCTCTTGCCCATCCTGTAGTGCATTCTTTCTCCGTAGCCCTGTGACCTTAGCAGCCTCATGACCTTAGCAGCCACCTGCAGGCTCCAAAGGGACAGAGTGCTGCCTCATTTGGAAATCCATGTTTGTCCCGTGCATTCGCATGTCCTCTCTTCATAGCCATGTGGGCTTCGTAGCAGCACAGCAGTGGGCTGCAGCTGGAAACACACGCTAAGCTGGCCGGACACTGGACTGGACTTGAATATGGAGCAGAAATGCTGGAAACTGGCTTTTGTTTTGGCTCTGCTGAGGACAAGATTGGACTTCTCCATGGAGAAATGGATGGAGATGAGACATTGGGAAGTCAAGAGGGCAATCCCCTTAATTTTACATCATCAATAAACCATACCACAAAGCCTCATCTTCCCATGGGGGGGGGGGGTGTCTCAGGAAATTCTTCTCCTTGCAATGCTGGTAACTATGATAGGAGAACATAAGAGAGAACAGAATCTAGACTAAGAGGTGCAGGTAAGAATTTCCATACGAAACGAGACTTAACACGTTAAGTACCAGAAAACTAAGGATAATCTATATTTGCTTGGCTCATTCTTTTACTCCCAATTTCTGCTCAGCACCTTATACACAACTGGTTCTCAAAAATATTGCTGAATGAATGGGATGACAACCAAACTGAGTCATAGAGGAAAAACAGGCCTCAGTATATTAATAAAAAAAAAAAAAAAAAGACGACAAAGAAACAGAAAACAGGCCCAGGGTGAACTAAGTCCCTTGGCTTCAGGACCAAACCAAGACTAATTTCAGCCCTACCCAGGAATGTGACCTTAAACCAATCAGTCTGAAATTTCCTGTTCAATCTAGTGAGGTAATCTGCCTGGCAAGACCCTGCCGCCTTTCCCCCTAAGAAAGATGCCCTTGCCTGAAACAATCACTTACTGTCTTTTGCTAATAATTTTGTCAAGCCAGTTTTTGCCTATAAAAACCTTCTTTTTTATACAACTTTTCAGAGCTTCCTTCTGTTTGCTAGTTGGGATGCTGCCCGAGGCATGAATCATCTAATAAAGCCAAGTAAATCTTCAAATGTACTCATCAATACAAGAATTCTATACAAAATGTTGGCAACTAAAATCCAGTATGACCAAGTAGGATTTATTCCTGGAAAGCAAAGACACAATTATGGGTAAATAGATTAAAGTAATTTACATGAATGCACAGTCATCTCCACAGATGTAATCATGATGCATAACATAAAAAAATATTGCCAGGATTTTTAAGCAACAGGTTTTCTCTGCACAATAAACAAACTACTTTTTACTTTTCCTCTCATTCTTACGCACTGCATTTTACTGAATGTTATAATTGAGAGGCAAGAGGTACACTCATGCCATGCTACTGAGTGGACAAACTGGCACAACTTCAATGGAGAACAATTTGGCAATAATTTTGAAGTTAAAAATGCACATATGTTTGACAAAGCAATGTACCTTTTAGAACCAAAACCTACAGATAATCTTGCACATGTGCAAAACAATGGATGTACAAGTGTATTCCCAGCTGAGTTGTGTCTAACAGCAAAATAGTGAAAATATTATAAATGTGCCTCAACTGGATACCGGATGAATAAAGTAAATTCTGGAACGTCTTTTGCATGTAAACAGGTTGAATCAAGTGAGGAAGACTAGGTTGCTTGGGATAAGCTCTGAAAACTTTTCAATACATTCTTGTTTTGCTTTTTGAATTTTGAATCACATATAGGACCTACGAAAAGTAATTTTTAAAAACTGTTTTTAAGTGAGAGAATCATGAGTTTGGGAGAAACTAGCCACACACTATCCCACTGCTGGCGATACCAAGGGGTGACAATCACTGAAACGCTTGAAAATAAGGTTATCTTCAGAATTAACACACGAAGAGAATTCCCACAAAATAAATACAATTAGGCATATGTAGAAAAATATCAAAGGACTGTAAAAGCGGAAGCCCACGTTTCCCGAACTCTCACAGACCGGGTGGCTTTGTCTTTCAGCATTCCCCGCACAAGTACAAATGAGACCACAACACAGGGCGAAACGGAAGCATGTCCCAAACACCGTTTGGGGAAAACTGGTAAACGAGACCGGAAGCTCCGGGCAAGGAGAGGAGATGAAAGAAGTGAGCCACCTACTCACACTCGTACTTCCGATTAACCGGAGGATACTTGGCCTTGATCGCCTTCTGCTCCTCAGTCAAATTGTAGTCTCTAACATCTTCCTCTTCCTGCGCCATGACTGCAGCTAGACACTCTACTTCCGCCCTTCATCAGTTGGACTTCGGCCCTGATTTACAAATTCCGATTTAGACCCCGCCCCTTGGTATGCATCCTCAAAGCACCGGGACGTCTCTGGCGTACTTCATCCCTTAAGACTTCCGTTCTACTCGGCGGTTCTAGAAATCTTTAAATAGTCCATACCCGACTTCCTGGGTTTGCTGCATAAATGGTTTTAAGTACTAAGAAAACAAATTGGAGGATTTAGGAATAAGTAATACCTGACTTAGACACTCGTAAGTCTGAGTGATAGAAGCCTTTTCTTCCTGCCCCAGTCGGTAACTACTCCAGAATCTATCCTAGACCTAGATTATTCATCTGAGGACTTTGAAGAGGTGTTAGCCTAACAGTCTTTAAGAAAATGGCTGCCCCCAGGAGAGTGCGAACTAAACGCTCACGTGATCCCGGGCGGGGGCTCGCCCACCAAGAGCTCGCGCGCGCGCGCTCAGTCGAAGGAAGTCGCCCCAGGCCGTGTCGGGGCAGGAGCTGAGAGCGCGCCTCGGCTCCCGGGGAGCGACTCCCAGCGTCTGGATAGGCTGTAGACGCCGACTGCCCGCCCACTTCGCCGTTCGGGGTGCCTCGATTGGCCGGTGTTGGCGCGAAGGTACGCTAGGCAGCCCTCACGCAGGGGCAGCAGGAAACAATAGAGGCCGCGCGCGGAGAGCGAGCGCCTGTAGACTCCCCGCCCCTCCCGCAACGGTAGACCTCGGGATACCCCCGACTTGCCTGCTCGCCATGGCCGACAAGGAAGGTGAGGGTGCCGAACCCACCCAAGGAGGACGGGGCCTGCCGGGCTTGCGCCGCGGCCTCCACACGGCCTAACCGTGAGAGCAGGCCCGGTTCTGCTGAGTGCTGTCCGCACCATTGAAGGCGTGAAGGCGAAATCGCCCCGCGAGGCGGGCTAACGGCGCGCCAGTTCCTTTGGAGAGGAGGCCCGGCGCAGAGGGGTGAAGCTGGCGGTGGGGGCCCCGGCGGGGGTTTGATCCCTCCTCACGCTCCTTGTCGGTCTACTTGCTTCTCTGCCGGTGCGCCCTGAACCGCTTCGTAACACTCCGGGGCTCGGTCCTTGGGCCTTCTCGCCGGTCCCGTAAACTTAACCGCGTGGGAGAGCGTGCTCCCGAGGCCCGCCGCCGTCTCCCGCACGGCTGGCGGAGTGTCTAGCCGGGAAGACCCGAGAGTAGTTGCGACCCGCGAAGGCGGAGGCGTGTTGGTGCCTCCGCGGAGGGAGATTGAGACAGCCCTGCTCCGTATCAGGACTCGGGAGCCCCACGGGTAGCTTTGGGAGTGTTTACTCGATTTCTATTGTGTTCGCTAACTTAACTTGTTTTTACTATTTTAGCAGCCTTTGATGACGCAGTGGAGGAACGTGTGATCAACGAAGAGTACAAAATATGGAAAAAGAACACCCCTTTTCTTTACGATTTGGTGATGACCCATGCTCTGGAGTGGCCCAGCTTAACTGCACAGTGGCTTCCAGATGTAACCAGGTGATACGAATCTCTTGAACGTTATTTTGGTGTGACCTCAGTGTACATTTATCCCGTCTATTTTACCTATTTTTCTCTGCAGTCACCCTTAGGGGGCACGTAATCGAAACCTATTGGTGACATTTTTTTCTAGGCCAAAAAGTGGGCAAAAAGTAAAATTAACTTTGTAATTTTTTCTGATAAGAGAGAACATGCTGTTCTCTTTTTCTGATACTGGGTTGAGTAGTCATATTGTAACAGTAGTGTACCAAATAATAGTGGGAAATTGTCAGCTTTCCAAGCAGTCCTTTTAATCTCAGGCATTGGTTGTAGCTGGTTAATATAAAGATGAGTGTGACATGGCAGTTGTCTGCAAGGAGCACGGTGTAGTTGAAGCAGGTGTAACTAATTAGAGTTATGTGCCCTCGGAGCACTTTTAGAGAGATACTTAGAACTAATACCTGAAGGTGGGATGGTTTACATACGAGGGAATTATGCAGGGTGAGATTGAGCACATGTATTTCTTACTCATGGGTAGTTTATCTCTAATAGAGGAGATAAAATATTTAATTTCACTTACATTTATTGAGGGTCTAGGTGCCATTAAGACAAAATTAGATATACCTTCCTTGCCTTGACTTGTGTATATAACCTATAACAGTGAAAAAATGAAAAAACGTTGTGAGTGGAAATAAAATGATGAGAGTAAGGAAAAAGTGCTTCAACTGAGTATGAGAAAAGGCTCAGGTTTTAGCAAAACCAGTATGCCTATTGGAATAATTTCCTATTATAAAACTGTTTTGGTATTCAGAATAACATTTAAAAATTACATGTGTACTAAAAAATAAATTTCTTCAAACTTAGGTCTTTAGAAGTCTGTGTTTCAGCTCAGCAAGCAATAAACATTTGATAAAAATTTTATTAAGAATGAGCCCTGACTCGTGTGGCTCAGTTGGTTGGGTGTTGTCCTGGGAATCACTCGACTGAGTGATTCCCAGTCAGGGTACATGCCTGGGTTGTGGGTTCGGCCCTGAGTCGGGGTGCATGTGAGAGGCAACCAAGTCTCTCTCTTGAATTGATGTTTCCCTCTTTCTAAAAAGAAAATCTTTATTTAAAAAAAAATGAGACTGCTACCTTTGCAGTGGCATTAAAGAAATTGGGAAATCTGTCTTAAGGTTGTTAAACAAAACCATAATAAATACCTAGAAATTTAGAATTCCAAACTTCTTTATCAGGTTTTCATGTTCAACTGATAATCAGAATCAGCCATAAAAAAAGAACAAAATTCTTGCCATGTGGAACAACATGGATGGGCCTAGAGTGTTTTGTGCTGAGTGAAGCAAGTCAGAAAGACAGATACCATATGATTTCACTTATGTGGAATCTAGAAAATAAGATAAACAAGTAGAACAGAAACAGACTCAATAGATACAGAGAACATTTTGACAGTTGCCAGATGGAAGAGGAGTTGGGGGAAATGGGTAAAAAATGTGAAGGGATTAAGTACAAATTGGTAGTACAGAATAGTCATGGGGATGTGAAGTAAAGCAAAGAGAATATGGTCAGTAAGTAACGTCGTAATAACTATAGTACCAGATGAGTGACTAGGTTTATTGGGGTGAAGTTATACAAAGTTTAATCACTTAGTTGTACACATGAAACTAATGTAATATACATCAAATATAATTGAAAAATAAATTATTTACTTAGCTGGGTAGCTCAGTTAGTGTTGTTCAACATGATAAGGTTGTAGATTCAGTCCCCCTATCAGGGCACATACAAGAATCAACCAATGAATGCGTAAATAAGTGGAACAACAAATAGATGTTCCTTCCTCCATCCCTCCCTCTCTCTCTCCCCCTCTCCCCTCCCCACCCTCTTTCTCTCCCTCCTTCCCTCCCTCCTTCCCTCACTCCCTCTCAATCAGTAAATTTAAAAAAAAATTTCAGCTCTACCTGCTTTACCCATTTTTTATTTATTATTTATTTATTTTTTAGAGAGGGAAGGGAGGGAGGGAGAGAGAAACATCAATGTGCTTTTGCTGGGGGCTGTGGCCTGCAACCCAGGGATGTGGCCTGACTGGGAATCGAACCTGCGGCACTAAAAAATGGTTTTTAATTAAAAATTGCTAAAACAGCTTTGGCTGGTGTGGGTCAGTGGATTGAGTGCCAGACTGCAAACTAAAGTGTCGCTGGTTCGATTCCCAGTCAGGTCATGCCTGGCTTACAGGCCAGTCCTTGGTGGGGCAGCGGGAGAGAGGCAACCATACATTGCTGTTTCTCTCCCTCTCTTTCTCTTATCTAAAACTAAATAATTTTTTTATTTATTTATTTATTTTAAGCTGAGTGCAGAAGTGGAGTTTTTTCTGTCAGGAATTCTCATTGGTACTTCAAACCATTAAACTTATGGTAGAGTACTTGAGAAATACTGTAGTGGGTGATTACAGATTTACTGGTTACCTGCTAAATTGTATTAGACTAGTGTGTCCCAAATATTGGCTACCCCTTACCTACTAAATCCTGGAACATGAAAGCTTCCTTTATATAATGTGATTAGCTAAGTTTGGAAAGCAGTGAATTAGACTAAATTCCCCAAGGCTGAAATCTGTATTTGAATGGCTTTCTACTTTAGCAGATCCAGGAAAATAAACCTTTAATACTTGATACTGATCCAAATACCCTGCCTTTTCCCCCTTTTTTGTATTCTACTCATAACAATGTTAATTTTTTTTCAAATGAGGATTATTTATAACCAAGCATCTCTAATGCCAAGTGTTTAATTTTATGTGTATATGTTCTTATTTTGAAATTCACATCCTTTAAAAAAATAACCGTAGTTCTATAATCAGAACTGCCTCCCTTCCTCTGGTGCTTCAGTTTTCCTTTCTTTTTTAAAAGATATTGTTTATTTACTTTTAGAGAGGGGGAAGGGAGGGAGTAAAAAGAAAAACACCACTGCATGAAAGATACTAGGGATCCAACCCTGCTACCCAGGCATGTGCCTTGACTGGGGATCAAACCAGCTACCCTTTGATTTGTAGGCCAGTGCTCAGTCCACTGAGCCACACCAGCCAGGACTGGTTCTTTTAACTTTCCAAATACAAGTGTTGTCAATTTTGTGTTGAGAGCCCTCTTTTTAACTCTACTGTTTTTTATAATTAAAAAAAAAGATTTAAAGATTTTATTTATTTTTAGAGAGAGGGGAAGGGAGGGAGAAAGAGGGAAATGCCAATGTGTAGTTGCCTCTTGTGTGTCCCCAACTGGGGACTGGCTGGCAACCCAGGCATGTGTCCTGGCTGGGAATCGAACCTGTGACCTTTCAGTTCACAGGCCAACATTCAGTCCACTGAGCCACACCAGCCAGGGCTACCTTTTCTTTTCAATTTAAGATAATAGATGTCCATCACCTCTGTTCAGAGGAATTCTGATTGGTTATTTTAGGCCCAACTTCTGGGCTCTGCTCAATATTAAGATGCTTACTGGTGTCTGGTTATTCTGTTGGCTTCTCAAATGTGACACCTTCCAAACTGAGTATATTCACCTGGAGGTCCCATCAGAATTTTCTCTTAGAGTTTGAGTTTAGTCTGTTTTTTAGCATTCTCTCCCACTATGTTTTCCCATCCCAAAGTCAGATTTGGACTTGCTCTAATTTTTTTACTTGTGTGGTGTAAGGCAGGTTGCTTCATTTTTACAGTGTTACGGTATTTAAATGACACAAGGTTATATGCAGTGCTTAACATGGTTTCTG